TCATTGTTACTTAATGACGTGTTTTGCTTAAGCGTATCAATCTCTATTCAGGTTTTTTTTAAATACATTACACATACGCGCACATACAATACTCACACTAACACGCGCACACACTCATTCTATACACCCATTGCACTAAAATTTAGGGTGGGGATGAAGAACAAGTTTTAAAGTATTTCTTATTTTCAGACTCAAATCACTGCAGGTTTTTCAAAGTATTCGTATTTGATATAAGCATAAACATAAATTTAAAGTTTGCTCAATGCTTAATAGTTACTTTTTTTAAACACCAAAAATGCTGCCGCGTTTCCTGATATATATATATATATATATATATATATATATATATATATATATATATATATATATATATATATATATATATATATATATATGTATATATATATATATATATATATATATATATATATATATATATATATATATATATATATATATATATATGTATATATATATATATATACATATATATATATATATATATATATATATATATATATATATATATATATATATATATATGTATATATATATATATATATATATATATATATATATATATATATATATATATATATATATATATATATATATATATATATATATATATATATATGCAGTAATTAGCTGCATATATATATATATATGCAGTAATTAGCGGCTCTCATCTAATTAAAACTCTTTTCAAATTTTTACGTTGTTAAAATATCATTATTACGCATAAAAGAATCTATGGCGCGAAATTTTGATGTTAGAGTAATGAAATTTAATCTTTCATAAAGAAAAATGTGTTAGCAAGAAATCTGTTTCGTTATTTGAAAAACAATTCATAGAAATATTTGTTTTTGACTTTATTTAAAGATACCATTTTTGTGTGACATGAGCATGCTCAAATTACACTTTATTTTTCATTGAAGTTACATAGTTTTAAGTGCTAAAATTGCAGTGGTTTGAATTGTTTTTTGAATAAGAGCAAATCATAGTAAAAATTTTTAATATTTTGACAATATTAAATACCTTTCTGTGATTTAAATTCAAAAAATTTGTACTTTTATTGTTTAAAAGTTCGAGTTAATAAAGTGGAAAAAAAATAATTTTTTTTTTTTGTATATATGTATATATATATATAAAAAAAATAATGCGCGGTAGAATAAAACTTAAATAATAAATGGCGTAAATGAAAATAAAAACAAATAATATATAGTAAAAAAAATTATATATCATATAGTATAAAAAATTATATATATATTTAAAAACAATTAATAACTAAAAAATTAAACAATAAATGACAAAAAATAATAAGTAAAATTTTATAGGCTAAAAAAACCAAAGAAAAATCACTACTACAAGACCACATAACAGAATAACTAAAAAATAAATCGTAAATAAAGAATCCTAAGAAACATATGAAAAAAAACTATAGAAATATATGAAATAAAACTAAAGAAATATATAAATGCATAAAAAGTATTTTTTTCTTTCTTTTCCATTCTTTTTATTTATTTCATTCATTAACTTTATTTTTTTTTAAACTTCTCTTCTCAATGCTTCTTTAATTATTTTCTTTCAGATATTTTGTTATATATATATATATATATATATATATATATATATATATATATATATATATATATATATATATATATATATATATATATATATATATATATATATATAATATATATATATATATATATATACATATATATGTATATGTATATATCGATGGCTAAACTCCAACACCACGTATCTAAAAAATCACAACTTTTCAGGAGAGCCAAAAAACTTTTCAAAAAAACTACAGAAATAAAAAAATAAAAAAACGTAAAATTATTAAATTCTTTTGTTTGTTTATTTAAAATGTTGATTTGATTAAAATCAACATTTTAAATAAACAAACAAAATACAGGACACTAATAAATACTAACAAGATGCAGGAAACAAATTTACTAAATACAAACAAGATACAGGAAAAAAATTTACCAAGTTTAAACACTTTTTCCGGTATATATACATATATATATATATATATATATATATATATATATATATATATATATATATATATATATATATATATATATATATATATATATATATATATCAGTACGACTGAGTTTTAGTAACTTTTGTGTTTTATTCCACAAATGCTTAAACTCTGTAATTGTTTGACATCCATAAAAAACATTCTCTTAATACACAATACTGTTTAAGTAATTTGCATTATAATTAATGTACACATTTAACTTAGAATTGAATTCCGTTACAATTTATATATGTAGCCACTAGCGTAGGAACAGGAGGGGCAATAGCCCCCTGAACTCAAACAGGGGAGGGGGGACACTGCATTAAACCCCCCTCCCCCTATTTCCTAAACAGTTTAAAAAAAACTTATCATTTGCCAGTCTACATTGACTCAATCGCAATTAAACATCACCATGGAAAAGTATATCCATAAAACTGTTAAAGATACTATCGC